TAATTTTATATGGAGACTCTTTACCAACCAAACTTAAATAAAAATTATTTTTGAAATATTTTCCTTTGGCTTTTGTTGCAGGAAATTGTATAAAATGCTTGCAAAAATGAATATACTGAGGATGTTATTTGTACAGTAGTCTGACATTTAACTAATCAGATTTGTCATTTTTAGGTAAATGTTAAATTATTTAAGTAGTCTGGATTTTTAACAGAAACAGCAAACATAATTTTATATGGAGACTCTTTACCAACCAAACTTGTAATTGTCTTTTAACTTTGGAAGTAAGCTTGAATGACAAATATGCCAAAATGAAATATGTATAGATGCTGAGAAAACACTTGGACTTGTACATTTAAAGTGAATGTTGGCAAAAGCTTGCCTCAGCTGATTCGAAGGGACAAAGTTCAGCTCCATTAAAAGCTAGTTTGTCAAAAGTGTAACTAAGGGTTTTAAAATAAGGGAAAGTTTTAAAATAAAAGATTGTCATCTTTGTTTTAACCTATTTAATTTAAAATCTGGGTGATTAGTTTCTAAAGCCAAAGTAAATATAGTGGTAATATTGAACTTTTCTCAACCACTTAGTAGTAATCAGAGAATTCTGATGCTAAGCAGCCTACTTTGCTCATATTTAGTAGGTTTCTTCTTTTGCTTTCTTTCTCCTCTGTGCTCTCTTTGGGCTATTATAGTTTGTAATCTCAATGAATTGTAATTGTTTATTTGCATGTCTGTTTCCTGTTTTGGAATTGTAAACTCCTCAAGGCCATAGATTATATTTTATTAATCTTTCTATTCCTAGAAAAGTGTAATGGTCATTTAATAACCATAATAATAATAGCAGTATTTGTTTTTATTGAGCTCTTTTGTGCCAGGCCCTATTTTAGCATTTTATGTAGATGATCTAATTTAATCTTTAGAATAACTAAAAATGTTGGGTACCATTATTTTCATGCTATCCATGTTTTACTTGTGAGGAAACTGAGACTTGCTAAGCTTAAGTAACTTGTTGAATGTAATACTCATGGTAAGTAGTAGAGCTAGGTTCTGCGTCCAGGCATTCCGACTGCAGAGCACAGGTTTTTAATCACCCTACTACTGTCAGAACATGATGAATACTCAAAGAAGTATCAAGTAATCATCATACCTACTAAAGGGAAAAATTATTCTTAATTAGCAATTTGGTAATTGACAGCAAAAGTACTATTGTTATTACTTTGAAATATCTGAAGACATTTTAATGAGTGGTTATACTATTAAATCCTTTTCTGAAATGCATTACTACACACTATTGATTCTGTTTCAATGTATGTGTATGGTGTGGGGGCAGAGTAGGGATGCTACTAGGGGAAGAAAAGACAAATTATATTTCTTCTTACCTACTTTGTACATAATGAGACAGTTCTTCCCATAACATTTTACATTGGAAAATGTGGATGTCATCCTGTCTTCAATACTGGTATTTCAGAGGGACTCTGCCATATGACACGTATCAATTGTGGATAGTGATGCACTTAATCTTATTAGAAATGTGCTCTTTTTTATCTTTTTTAATAGCTAATCCATGAGATAAAATTGAAGGTACTACCAAAGAGAAATAGTTCTTGAAAGGATGGTCTTGCTAATAAACTATCTAATGGAGAAAAATAAACTAACTCCCTGTCTTTGAGACTAATCATGTGGGTCTTAACGCTCTGTCTTTGAAAATTAAGCACCTGCAGAGTTGATTTTACAGCATTTGAAAAGAGCTCAGCAGACAGAAAGGAAGTATATTATATTCACCAGACCAGTTTGGCCAGACTGCATTGATAAGCCAGTCTCCAGGAAAAGAAAAAAGGGAAAAACAAACACCCTGACATCTCACAGCTGTTGCCTGCTAATCAGTCTACAGCAATAAATTTTTTTTTTTTCCCCCTTTTTAGGCATAAAAATCCTGAGCTCCTCCTGCTTGGGGCCGGCACTTCCCCTTTTTTTCTTTCGGGTGCCCTGCCTTTTCCCTTCTCTCTCTCTATTTCTCTTTCCCTTTTCTTTCTCAGAGAAAGTAAAATAAACTTTTACTTTTTTCTATCCTAACTTAGTGTTGAGAATTCTTTCTCCACCCTCACTGTAAGCTCCCCATCCTAGCAGTTCTTTTTTAAAAGGCATTATTGTTGCAAGTGGTTCATGAGTGATAGTTTTGGGGACAAAGTTGTAGTAAGCAATTCATCTCTGTGAGGAGTAATGATGAAAGCTGAAATCCAATAAATATGTTGTTTGGATTAATATATAAATATTTCCTTTTTAAAATTTTTTTGGCTTTTATTCATGTATCTCCCGTCTCCCTATTCTCACTAATGATTTTTGGTATTATCTGATGTTATTTATACTTTTATTTTTATATGAACCAAATACTTCGATTTGGATTATTTATTCATCTTTTGGTAATACATATTCTAAGTGAAGAAATTAATATTGATTTAGGTGAGTTTATTCTTTCTTTTTGAACTTCATTTTTCTCATTTGTGTGTTTTTTCTCTTTTATAGGTATCACACTTATTGCTGTGGATGAGGCTCACTGTATTTCTGAATGGGGGCATGAATTTAGAACGTCATTTAGGAAATTGGGCTCCCTAAAGACAGCACTCCCATTGGTAAGCTTTGCCAAGTCTAATGTGTTGAAATGACATTCTTACTAAGGGGACGGTTCAGGATTGGGGAGTGGCCAAAAAGGCGAAGACTTCTCTGTGAAAGAGCAAATGGATGATGTAAGCAGGGAAAAGATTTTTTTTTTTTAAATTCTAAGGTTGGCATATAATTTATTGAGGAATGCTGCAGAATGAGGCTTGGCAAACCTTTTCTGAAAGGACCCAGTAATAAATATTTCATGCGTCATAGGCCACATGTAGTCTCTTGTCACATATTTCTTTCTCTCTCTCTCTTTTTTTAACAATGCTTTAAAAATGTAAAGGATTACATTCTTTGCTTTTGGGCCATAACAAAATAGGCTTTGGGCCATGGTTTCCAGACTGCTGCTTTAGAACCATGGTTAGATTCCCATGTCTTCTCAGTGATTCTTTTATCCATATGTTTTTTCACTGTAGGGTGCTGTGAAAATGTGGTCACCCCTTCTTGCATCATAATTGAAAACCTAAAAATTAGACCATTTTAAAGGGGATTTATTAAGGTTTTTAGTATTAGAATTCTACTTTCTTCCTTAATTATAAAGAATAGCAAATTTTTATGTGAATGTTCTACATGAATAGTGTATTTTACATGAATGTCTTGAAAACTTACAATATTAGCACTGCTTTATTTTTTATTTTGAAAATTATAGATTCATAGGAAGTTCTAAAAAAAAATGTACAGAGTGGTCCTGTGTACCTTTCACCCAGTTTCCCAAATGGTAACATCTTGTGTGACTATAGTACAATATCAAACTATACATATGACATTTATACAATATCCAGGGTTTATTCTTATTTCACCAATTTTATAAGTACTCATTTGTGTGTGTGCATTGTTCTGTACAATTTTATCTCATATGAAAATTTGTGTAACTACCATTGCAATCAAAATAACCAAACTGTTCTATTATCACAGGCTCCCTAGAACTATCCTCTTATAGCCACACGTGCTAACCTCCCAACCTCCCCACCTGTAACCCTATTCCCTGGCCACCACTGATCTGGTCTCCATCTCTACAACTGCATAATTTCAAGAATGTTATATAAATAGAATCATACAGTTTGTCATCTTTTGGAATTAGTTTTTTTCACTCGGCATAAATCTCTTGAGATCCATCCAAGTTGTGGTGTATAGTCATGGGTAACTTAACAAGGGGATAACGTTCTGAGAATTGTGTCGATGGATGACTTTTGTTGGGTGACTTTGTCATTGTGTGAACATCGTAGAGTGTACTTACACAATCCTAGATGATATAGCCTATTGCTCCTAGGCTACAAATCTGTTTAGCATGTTACTGTACTTAATATGGTAGGCAGTTGTAACACAATGGTAAGTATTTGTATGTCTAAACATAGAAAAGGTACAATAAAAGTTGGTATTATTGTCAAAACCACATGGGAGTTTCAGCCTAGGTCCAGCTGCTTGTGGCACAAAGATCCAACCGTTGAGACAATGAGGATTGCCAAGGAAGAAAGAAATTTTTTAATACAACAACACAGAAGTCTTGTTCGTTGGGGGCAGGTTGTGGGAGATGGTGAATCTTGTCAGGAAGTCTGTCCAGCTCCTTTGTCTTGAAGAAAATCCACCATTTCTGGGAAACAACTCAAAAGGTCAAAGGTTAGTTCAGGGAAAGGATTATAAAAAAGCATATAGGGGTCATTGGAATTTGTTCATAGAGCCATTTACAGTATAAAAGATAAAAAAAAGTATACCTATATAAGATACTTACCATGAATGGAGCTTGCAGGATTGGAAGTTGGTCTGGGTGAGTCAGTTAGTAAGCATGATGGCCTAGGACATTACTGTGTACTACTGTAGACTTAAACACTGTACACTTAGGTTACACTAAATTTATAGAAAACATTTCATGTTCAATAATAAATTGAAGATTAATTAGGTTATTGTAACCTTTTTACTTTATAAATTTTTAAACAAACTTGACTCTCGTAATAACACTTAGCTTAAAACACATTGTACAAAAATATTTTCTTTCTTTATATCCTTATTCTATAAGCCTTTTTCTAATATTTTTTACTTTTTAACCTTTTTTGTTATTAATAAAAACAAAGACAAAAAACACACATTAGCCTAGGCCAACACAGGGTCAGGATCATCAATTACTGTCTTCCACCTCCACATCTTGTCCCACTGGAAGGTCTTCAGGGGCAATAACAGGCATGGAGCTGTCATCTCCTATGATAGCAGTGCTTTCTTCTGGAATACCTCCTAAAGAACCTGCCTGAGGCTGTTTTATGGTTAACATTTGTTTTATTTTTGAGACAAGGTCTGGCTTTGTTGCCCACGCTAGAGTGCAGTGGCATCATCATAGCTCACTGCAACCTCAAATTGCTGGCTCAAGCAGTCCTCCTGCTTCAGCCTCCCAAGTAGCTGGGACTATAGGTGTAGCACCGTATCCGGATAATTTTTAAATTTTTTTGTAGAGACAAGGTCTCACTATTGCCCAGGCTGGACTTGAACCCCTGGCCTCAAGCGATCCTCCTGCCTCACCCTCCCAAAGTGCTAGGGTTACAGGTGTGAGCCACCATGCCTCGCCAATTTTTTTTTGTAAGTAGAAGAAGTACACTGTAAAATAATGATAAAAAGTATAGTATAGTAAATACATAAACGAGTAACATTGTCATTTATTGTCATTATCAAGTGTTATGTACTGTATATAATTGTATATGCTGTGCTTTTATATGATTGGCAGCTGGCAGCACAGTAGGTTTGTTTACACCAGTATCACCACACATCTGTGAGTAATGCATTGAGCTATGATGTTATGAAAGCTATGATATCACCAGGCGATAGGCATTTTTCAGCCTTATTATAGTCTTATGGGACCACTGTTGTATATGCAGTCTGTTGTTGACTGAAATATTCAGTGATACATGATGGTATTTTAAAAGTCTTCTCCTTTTTTATTGCCGCATGGTATTCCATGGTATAGAGGTACCACAGTTTGTTTAACCATTCACCAACTGAAGAACTTTTGGGTGGTTTTCCAGTTTTTGACTGTTATGAATAAAGATGCTGTGAACATTTGTGTACTATAATTTGAAGGTCCTTCAATAGGTGAATGGTTAAACAACCTGTAAATGTAAGTTTTTATTTCTCTGGGATAAATGCC